TGACATCACTAGACAAGCCATCGCTCGAGTGGAACCCAACAGAGTGGGAAGCGCCGGGTTGGTCGTCAGTGCAAGGGTGACTTGGAGGAGGTCATGTGAAGAAGAGATGAAAACGTGTGGGCAGACTTGGAGCCAGGTGAAGACTCTAGCATAGAACCGAACGCCATGGAGATGCACGGCTGAAGCCCTATGTTCCTCTAGGAATTAAAGGATACAATAATAATAATAATAATTCGTCCGTGGTACCTTCCGCTTCACTGAGCTACGTAAATATCAAAAGACAAAGACTGGCCTGTGACAGTGAGGATATAATTTTATGAGAAAAAAGCACGCCATATTTATGTATTTTTTTAACCACATTAGAATCGCTATAGGGCAGTGAAAATAGACTGTTCTGATTGGTAGACGATTCGGCTAGGTCGGCAAAAGGCAAGTATTTTGATTTGTCGATGATCTAACCAATCCCAAGGTAAGAAAATAACGATGAAATTTTACAGTCCTCCGATTACGCGATAAATCATAAGATGATTACTAGCTTAAGCAGATTCCTATCACATTAGTGCTTAAATCAAATCCATGCACCGTTTCTATAATGGCGATATAACACTGGTAGGTTCTATAATACAGCGAATAATACACGTCCAAAGTCATTGGCACGTTCACACTCTTGGGATAGTAGAGTTTATCTTCGCTGTCATTGTACTGTGGTGAGAGCTGGCTGCTAGCCAAAGTTGGTAAACAGCAATCGACGTCAATGTTTATGTCCCCAATATTGGTCGTGAGAAAAGTGAGAACAAAGGCTTTGCGTAGGCGGATACACTTAGCATATAGATGATCTGACACAGCCACAAAGAGATGCAAGGTTAACTTTCTGTAAGAAACAACCAATCAAAAGACTGTTTTTCCTACCAACAATAATCTGCAATAATGTACATTAAAATCTATAAATATATGTTGATTTTCCTTAATAAACGATCTGTTGCCTGGCCCTTGTCTTCTGTTGTTACACAAGTACTAGTCGCTGGTTTGGTGTTTGTGTGTGACTGGTTGGTACTTCCACCGTTTCAGTGTGTGTGTGTTCGTTAAGCCGGCTGAGATATGGCAACAATCGCCATCCTCTCACTATCTCTCCCTCCAATAATGAGAATAGAAAAATAGACGTCTTCAAAATGGATACTAATTCCCGCACAATCTATCAATCTGAAATGAAGACGGCAGCAACGACAGTAAAAAGAATCAGTTGTATTATTATTAATATTGTTTTTATTAATATCAATATTAATCGCAGTAATAGTAGCAGTTGTAGTGATAATAATAATAACAATAGTTTTATTAATAATAATGATTTTAATTATAGTAATAAACGAATAAATCAATGTAGTTTAGTGCAACAAACGGGGAGCAAAAAATAGTGACAGTTAGTTAATTCGGGAGGAGGAGGAGGAGGAGGAGGAGCAGGGGCGGAGGAAGGAGGGAACAAGGAGGTTTTACAACCATTAATAATAATAAAAAGTATCAAGGATATTGACAGTAGTAATAATAATAGTAATTGTACTAGTAGTAGTAGTAGTCATCGTATTTCTAATCGCCACAGTATTTGTAGAGCAGCCATCGTAGAGCAACATACCATTGGTTGTAATGTAATATTAATAATAATAATAACAAGACGATGAGTGATCGATAAAACAATTTAAAAAACACCTCTGCCTTATTCATTTATTCATTACACACATAGGGCTGACTGTATTATCGTCTGTCTGTCTATCGATCTGACACTCTCATCTAGCCAATCATCTTACAATCATGTGTGTGTGCAGACAATAGAAGTGTATGTATGCAGTTGTTTGCATTTCTATATGTGATACAGACATACACACCTGTAGTACATAGATAGATAGACAAACAGATGCATATTATAAGAAGGCAAAAATTATCCAATCACAATCCACGTGCTCTACACTGGCAATTATTATTCACTCATAAGACCGCCAAAATGTGTGCATATATATATAAACAAAAGTACTTCAGGTAAGTCAGAGAGAGCTATTGAAAATTGAACAAAATACATGGGGAAAAAATTGAAAATTTGAGCAAGCTAGTAAACTATCAAATTATTGACACACACATACACGCTAGTAGGAAAGCAATTAATAATAAATAGGGAGATATTATTATATGGAGGCATGGTCAAAAATATATATAAAAACAAATAAGCAGAACATCATAGAATTCATTATATAATATTATATTATATTGTACGAAGGCTAAAAGAAATTAAAATCACTCTAATACATACACACGCATGTGTATGTATGTAAATTACTACACTAACTACTTAAAAAGGGGAATTAGTAGTAGTAGTAGTAGTAGTAGCAAATAGTATCAACAACAAAAAAATTATTCACAAAATAAGGTAGAATAAAAATAAAAGATTTTACAAAGTACGCAGTCAGAGAGAAGGAGAGAGCGATTGAAGGGGTGGTTGTGGTGGGGATTAGGAGATGTGTTGCTCACTGTGTCTGTCCACAATTGTCGATTCTATTACCTCTTTTTATATATGTGTATATATATGCATAGAATTACCTACGGAAATAAGGCGAACTATTTGAGTTGTCAACGTAGGGGGGTCGAAGTAACAGGAGGAATAGCGATAGTAATAGTGGAGCCTAGGTTTTAAAGCACATACACACATAGAGACAACTGGCCGACTACATTTGTGCAAGTATATATATATATATATATATACTGTGCATACACGAATATGTACGGTAGTTAGTAGTTAAATAAAACTATATAGTAGCAAAATTACACAGCGCTAAAATATATCGATCACTAATTGGGTGTGATGGGATGATCTCAAGGGAGCAAGTAGAGGAGTGGAAACAAAAGACAAAGAAAATTGAAGAAGGAAATCAGTTATTTCTTTCAAAAGAACCCCTCCCCGCTTACACACACACACACGTACAAGAACACAAGTCATTGCAAAATGAATGTTTGTCATTCAAAATAGCAAAGAGTACAACACTTTCATTATTTTGTAATCAAGTAAGAAGGGATACATGATCATCAGAGAGGAGAGAGGGGGGAAACAGCAGATAAACACACAAACTTACTAATCGATAAAAAAGGAACAAAATAACTCATTGCTTTAATAATAATTGAAACATTGAACAGATTAACTGTATTTTTTGAAAATAAACATACACGCGCGCCAGTAAAAGATGAAGTATAAATCAGCAGTAGCAAGAGGAGTGGTGGTACCAGTTGTAGCATTGTAGAGACGCTCCTCATCACCCACATAATACGCTAGACAACAAGCATACAAACACACACTCACTGTACACGTATATGTGGGTGTAAAAGAAAGTGTAAAACCACAACAACAACACACACACACAGCACCAACCCCCTCCCCACAGTAACTAACATATACGAGGAAAACGAGAATACAAACTTGTTATTATTATTATTATTACTGTTACTAATATCTATGGGGTGTTCATTTCTATAGAAAATACAAGGAACACAAAAAACTAGGGGAAGGGAGGAGGCAATTCGATTAGCGAATGTTCTAATTAAACATTTATGTTAGTTTATTTTTTAAAAAGATTCAAATATTTTGATATCTTTATCAATGAGCAATTGATCGATTTATTGATTATCAGTTATTAATATTATTATTATTATTACAATTATAATGAATATTATTATTACAAAGGCAATAGGCCAAAATGGTAGGTTATTAATTATGTAATCGGTGAGTTAGTGAGTGAGTAAGTAAGTAAGCAGTCAAGCAAGCATGAAAACATCTGTTCTTTACTCAATACAGGCCCGTGTATTGTTTAAGATGGAGGTGACAGAGATGGGAGATGACGCGTTCGATAGAGGCGGTGGATTTCGGGGAAGTGGCGGGGGGCAGACAAAGAGGAGAGCAGAGCTGGTTGGCTGGACGCTGGGCGTGGGTGGCGGCGAAGGGGAAGGGTCAAGGTGGTATAGATTGCAGAATAAAGCACTTGATAAACGTTGATGATGAGCAATTAAAAATCATAAAATAGTGAATACAAAGAACACAACACAACAAGACAGAACAGATCAGAACAGAATAGTTACCTGGATAAGATAAGTGGTAAATTGTGATACTACTGTCAGTGCTAAAAGTAAGTAGTAATATACCACAATCATCCATTCTTTGAAATATTAAAATTATCCTCTGTCTAAAACAATAGAGACGGGACGCAATACAAGGTGAGTAGTACTCGTAGTAGTAGGTTCAAAAGAGGGAAAATAGACAGTCTTTGTCAATAAAAAGAGAAGAGCAAGGAAGAGCCAAAGACGTCGGCAGTGACACAGTGGGTTTGGGTGGGACGGGAGGGGGAGGATGGATGGAGTATTAAAGTCACTGTGAAGCCGGGATGTGTGAATGCAATATTATCTATTACAGATATTGATTACAGATGTATATATATGCGTATATTATGTACGCATGTATGTGTGTATGGGAAAAGATACAATAGAGGAGGAACAAAGGCTATTTTTTCATTAGAGAGAGAGAGCGACTGACATAAAACAATACAATACGATACAATTTTTTTTACTAATTACACGCGTTTGAGAGGTTGTGAGAACACTCCCCACTCTCCTCATCTCATCACCCACTTCAAGCCCTAATCCATAAGCAGCGTGTGTGTGTGTGTGTGCGTGCGTAGGCCCGGCTTTTGTGCATGTTGGCATAGATGATACAGTTTTGTAAGTATGATTATGTAATTATAGGTTTATGTATGTATATGTTTTATAGTTTATCACTAATGTAATATGTAACCATACATACATACACACATTATACTCATGCACAAGCAAACACGCTGAGTACAGATTATATTATACACACACACCTTGTTTATACATACGTACACACACACACACTAACACACACATTCATACATAAAAACACACACACATACACACTTGTAGACATTTACATAAGACATTAGTGTTGAAAGTTAAGAATCATCTGGTGCATCAGCATCCACATATTCAATTGTTGAATTTTGACGTTGTCTAAACGCCAAAGTACCAGCGCTTCGACGATGCTCCAAATCAAGACGTGGTCCAAGTCCCATACGGAATGCATCAACTACTTTCATCTAGAGAATTTATTGAAAAAGAAAATAATGATAAACAATTAATTGATTAATCAATTAATTAATGATTTAATTATACATGTATATATATATATATATATGAATTTCACTTGGGGGAAGTGGATTTTCAACCTTTCTACTACCTTCCTCCCCACTCCCTGTTTGCCGCCTTCTCAATCATACTGTGAGATCGTCTCAACATGATACATCAAAAGCTGGTTATAATTGGTCTATCTTACTTCACACCCACACACACACTGCAATTATCGTTGAACATGCTGTCTAGGTGGATAATGAAACATTTGTAGTTCACAGAACAGAACTTTACACTAAGAAATGGAAAATAATAGTCGGTAGTGTGTAGGTCGACTTGAGTAATTTCTTGTGTTCTGAATACATTTAGGGTGGAGTGGTGGTGGGCGCCCAGGGGTGGTGGTGAACTACGGAGCGATTTGCTAATAAACACATTGCATTTTAAATCACCATAATGTGCTTTTTCTCTCGCCTTTATTTTAACAATATTAAAAGTGAACAGAATCGAAGGTAGACGGTAAAATAAGGGAAGGAAAAGAAGATGCTAACATGCAGTGGAAATAGATTTAAAGTTACTTTCATCGTCACAAACTAACATCAATTAGTTAGCGAATCAATGAAAGCCAAACAATAGCACTGGGCATTTAGTGGTGTTTCGTCCTAGTTTGGGACTCTTTATCAGTACATGCTCCCACAACCCCACCAAGAGTCAATACCAATTCCTCTGGCTATTCATTCAGCCACCAGCTTGGTTTTGCGCTGGAATTCATGTGCGCGTGAATTCTAACCCTTCTGATATAGCGTTGTGGTAATATCCTTAATACCATCATGGGTCGAAACAGTTAGTTAGCTGTCCAGTACGTATTATCATTCAGTTACTCTCTGACTTTTATATGCTGGTTTGTGACAAAACACACTTTAAAATTTAATTTGAGTACTGCAGCTTTTCTGTGATTTAGGATAACAATGATATACTTACTTTGATGTTATTTATTTTCAATAATATGTAAATATGCACACACACACTTCTGTGTAAGCCTATTTAATTACTAACGCCCACGTGTTAATCGATAGAGAATTAATTATACACCAATCAGAAAAAAGGAATGCAACAGATTCTATGCTGTCTTAGGGTTATGGTATGATATGATGAGATGATTGGTGAATACGAAATAATGATGATGACAAATGTCACAGCGCATATACGCACACACAACACACACACACAGTCACATATTCAAACAGACAGACAGACGGGCAGAAACAGAAGCTAACCAAAAGCTTATTCATCATTATCTCAAAAGCATAATTGGATGAATGTGGTTAGGCGAAGTGGGGAAAATATATGCCTATACAGATGTATCCGTATATTTTCACTTAAAAAACGATGACGGAATAATTAGAGTTAGTTATATAGCGGTAAGTCACCCAATATAGTTGTCACCTAATTTATTAACTGTTATAATTAAGTAGTGTATAAGTAGTATATACAGTCAAGAACTAATCTCGTATCAAAAGTACAGTCACCATGTTATTGTTATTTTTTGTTTATTTATACACACAAACACACACACACAAACTTATAAACAGAAAGAAAAGTTGAAAACAATATAGGTATGTAAGGAACTGAGGAAGATGAACGAACAGAAATACTGCTAATATACAAAGAAATGAGGAGAGAGAGATGGCTCATTGGCTCAAAAAACACTTGAGTCCCGGCGGGTGGGGGGGGCAAGGGGTGTGAGTTCAAGTCCCACTAGACCTACTTCAATCAAAGTAACAAACAAGAAGGTATTATGAACACTTACATACAATTACTGTATGGCTGGCTGGTGGTCCCTAACAAATTTTCATCCTAGGTCAATAATGAGTTCAAAAACACCTCTAAATGATCAGAAAAGACATTTCGCACATAGAATAAAAATTGAGACGTCTCATTATAATTTAGCTGTTTAACAATTTAATAGGCATATTGCTTCTCATTTTCCCTGTATCCTCAAACAGATTATCGAGTAAAGTTGAGCTGACAAGGTACACCAACTTGTTAATACCATTGTAGATAGACACTTGAACCCGTGGCAAGAGATTAACAAATATCATCTTGTCCTAACTCTGAGCACCTTGTCAATACACAACTCTATCCTTACATCTTATCAGGTAGAAGTAGAAGCAACTATAGAAAACTTCATCTTCTGACGGCAAAGTATAAAAACCCTACAATACCTTATTTGGCACATATTTTGTGTGATCAGAAGTGTCTGCTGGGCGTGACAATGCTAACTTACTGAGAAACACTAGGTAAACTAGCCCTTTTTATATTTTCTTTCATTGATCATATTGTTACTTAATATTTCCACTTAAATTATAATTTTATATTCATATTTTTATATAACAATATTATGAATGTACATGCCGTGTTTTAATGTAATGGGAATGTGTAATGAGAATATTAGATGCAATATTGTACTGCACGCTGAAAATTCCATATCTGCAACAAAAGTATTGTTTGGAATAAAGCTATTTATTATTATCATTATTGTGTGCGTCGGTGACACAGCGGCAGAATGCTCGCCAACCACGACCCATGTGGTTCGGGGTTCGATTCCCGGCCACCGACGTACTCCTATCCAAACCTCACTAAGCCAGTAATAAAACTGGAAAAAGCGGGAAGGTTGGACATGAGGCTAGCAATCCCATCCCGTAAAAAATAAACGCCACTGCTACAGAAACTTCAAGCCTCTAGCTTGAAGCTGCCCTGTGTTCCAGTTGGAACGCACACGAACAAAAGAAAAGTTATTGTTATAACTAGCCAGTGGAATGCGTAGTCACACTACCGATAAAAGGAATGTATGTATTATTAGTGGCTGGTTAGGTCGTATTTCTGCCTTTTTACACTAGGTGTACACCTGTATCCTAACCCCCTTCCCCTACCCAATGAATGATATTATGTTGTTACCATGGAGATTAGAAACCTAAATACCAAAATCATTTTGTATTTAAGTGATCTTGTCTTTTAACTTATTTCGAAATACACATTGACTATTGGATAATCAATCAATTAAGTCCAGCCCCTACTACTGCCCTGGCCCTCAGTAGAGACTATAAACTCATGAATTTGTACCATTACCTTTTCTAATTCTTCTGACATTCAGTTTATTTGATGTTGATGCTGTTCAGCTGTAATTTATCAATATTATTGATTTGATGTTATTTAAACATTAATGTCGTCCATAAAACTAATTCATTCATTCATTATAATGTATATATAATTGTACAACCTGATGATGAATTTATTGACCTAGACTAGGACGAAACAGCTGTCCAACACTCCCCTGTTGGCTTTTCAATGGTTCTCTAACTTACGTCAACTCGTGATCAGACGAGTAATCAATCAGATCCCTGTAGCAAACCATCATAATTTTAAGTAATAAAGTCTTTGGGGGTTTTTGGTGTTAGAATAACAACCATCTTTGTTTCATCGACATTGGCTTTATCGTCTTCTTAAACGAAGAATATCACAAACAGACACACAGATAGACAACTACTGCAAATTAAGAAATCCTAACTAATTAACTAAATAACTGGATACCTGCCTTTTGTTACCTAGTTTAAATGAGAACTGTTCAACAGTACAGAAGCTGGAATGAAACATATCTTGAGTTGCTCATTAGTTTTCAGCCATTTTCTACATGATGCCGTAATCAATCGAATCTACTGCTAAGGATTGATGAAGTGTTCCTCAAAATAGTGTAAGAGTGAATGAGAACGTCTGACGTGCTTACAACTGGGCTGACAAGTGGACATAGCTGGTCTGCCTGAGTAGGGGAGCTGATTCCGAACCTATGGTAGTGTAGATGACTTCCAGAATCCGAAAGGATAGAATAGCGTATGAATGTGTTTTCGTCCCCGAGAATCATGGAAACTTATCTCCTGATGCTAATCTACTGTCTTGTAGATTAGACGTCAAATCAAAACCTCACCGGAGTGGTCCCTTAAGACAACCAGGAAGAATCTCCGGAGAATTCTAGTGTGAGAAGTCCATAACTGGAAGGGTCATTCCATCGACAATGTATATATATGTATCACGAAATGACAGAATCAAGAATCCATGCTTCAATATTGGATTCCAAATCCAATGGTTGAGTAGTAATAAAAGCTCAATTAATAAACTAAACTGAACTGAAAATTCTGTGTTCGGTAACTGATAGAGATTGTAGCTTGATTCCACACCGTATTTCCGGTACAAGTATGAAATTCTCAGCATGAGATATCGGTAACCCAAATTTTGCAGGCCGACCATTGATATCAGGTGTGCGTCGACAGGGGATCGAACCCCGGACAATGCATGTGCAAGGTCGGCGAGAGTCCTAACCATTGTGCTGCCGACGAAAAATCCCAAAAATAGAGTGAAACCATTATCATTAAAAGGGATAACAGTTCATACATCATGTGAAATCTTTTTGATGTGGTTGTGTTCTCTGAGTTGGATAGTTAATTTGCGAAGCCTTCATCGCCCTACTAGGCGACATCTTCAGCGCATACTTCAATTTGAATTGAAGTGAGCTGTTTTAGATTTCTCCATGAGTTTATTAATCATCTCTCCTGGTGACCTTGGATGTGATTGGTTGTTTTTGTGTTTTTCTCACCTTCTAGGCTACTTGTATTATCACTCATTGTTTCTTTGACTTGAACTTTGACCCTTTGTGTATGAGGTATCTTTCTTATCGGTTGAGAAATCTTAAAGCTCACTTCAACAAATTGAAGTATGTGCTGAAGATGTCACCTAGTAGGGTGATGAAAGCTTCGCAAATTAACTATCCAGCTCGGAGAACACAACCACATCAAAGTCATCCACCTGAGCTACAAATTTTCTCCGTCATATCTAAATAAGAAATCTATTTTGTAGTCAGTCAAATTTGTATGAAACCAGAACGGATAGTATTCGAATTACTGATACCAGTACTAATAAAGAACTGTAGTAGGTTTACGCAATCGCCATTTCCTGACAGTTATACTTGATTCATATATCTCTCTGTCGATATATATATATGATGGTGGTAGAGACACACACAGATGCGTATGTTGTGTCTGTATTCTCTCTTCCAGTATTTGAAAATATCTGTAATATTATTAATATTAATTGACTTACATGCACGACACATAAAAGTTAATCAAGCACAACTTTTATTACTATTATTATTATTATCATCTACTGTTGATCGATATGCAGACAAATGCACACATACACATACACACACATTCATCCTATAGAAAATAAATTTCATGAAAATAAATACAGAAACAGAAAAGAAAATAATAAACTAAAATAACCAATAGCCGTTGAACGTATACTTATATCCTTAATTAAGTAGTATAAAATTATAAACGAAAAAAGAACTTTACAGACATTAGTATCAATTCATACAAGGTCATGCAAGATAAACTTTATATATATATATAAATAAATAAATAAATAAATAAATAATAATATTGGTAATTATTCAACAGAAAAGGGTAAATAAATACTATTTTCCTGGGGAAAAAAAGAGAAAAACAAACATTGTGACTATTATGCAATAAACTAAAGAAAATAAAACAACTCTAAGTGCGTGTATGCAGTCAGTTGTTTATCAATACAATGTGACATGCCTGATTTCATCTACAATCGTACTGCACATATATACATAAATATGTATATATATACATTATGTAACCAAATAAGTTGCACGGGGAAATTAAAAACGAAAACAATAGAAAATTAGAAAAGTTCCCATGCAGCGCATTATGCACTCTTTTCAAGTGTGTGTGTGTGCGTGTGTATGTGCATATATATCGAATAGTTTAAGCGTCATGGAAGGAAATCAAAGACTGCACAAACTGCTAAAAGCCACATTGAGATAGATGAAGAGCAGATAGACAAGTGGACTTAAATCCCAAGCACATATATATACACATATATATGGGTATACATATATATGCAATATAAATTCTATGCAACAACACAAGAGTACAAGATGAAACGGATTAGATCTTTTCTTTGTTCCTTTACAAGATAGTGTAGAAGAGAAGGATGAAGAAAGAATTGAGAGAGAGAGAATAGCAAGATAAATAAAGTGGTAGTGAAAGAGACACAGAGCAACAAAATGTGGAGTCTATGCCACGGAGATAAGATAAACATGCTAGGAGGATACACATAGAATAATAACAAATGCAATCTGAGTAGTGAGACTTAAATATACGGAATCTTATAACCTGGATATATATATATACCGGGGAACAGTAAAGCTAGTTCCCTTCCCTGTCGATTGGTACTCATGACAATTATCTAGTACACGACATTGAAGTGCTCACCAACATGAAAATCTGAGCAGAAGCAAATGAAGATGGATAGCGCATATGTTGCTGAGGAGACCACTCGTTGAGTGACAACACGCAAGAACTATGCAGGCCATTGAGTGTGTCCGAAGGTGACATAGAGAGGAGATTCAGTGAAGAGGAAATGAAAGCCTGTGGAGCCAGCTGCAGTGAAGACTGCAGGGAACACATTGAAATGGTGACGTGCTGGTTACAGACGGTTTATGTTCCGCTCAAAACCCAAGGGAATAATACTAATATACATACATATATATACCGGTGTGCAAAAATGAAAAATGACCAAAAAGTGGAAAGGTGATAAAACATTGTACACAAATTATATATATACACGAAATAAAATACTTCACACTGAGCATGTTGTCTCCATGGTGGCCAATGAACATGAAGGAAGAAAGCCTCGGAAATTATAAACCAACCACCATTCAATAACTCAGAGAAAACAGACACACACACACACACACACACAACGAAACCACCAAACCAAATAAAATGCATTTATCATCATGATTCCTAGGCCAAAGAGGATGATGATAGATAGTGTTTATGCAAACATGTTTATTTGATGACCAACCCCCCAAATGCTAAAAGAAGGATCCATGTATAATTGTATATCCACTACTGGTTGACTAATACAAGTGTGTGTGTGCGTCTATCTTTCTCTTCCACAAGTACACACACACGGACACATCAGCCAGACTGAAATATACAATAAGAGACAGACAAGCGCATAAGAAATGGATAAGTGCTCCAACCTTTGTTCACTCTCTCTCTCTTTCTTTCTTTCAGTGGAGTATGCGTGCGCCTATGATGAATGAAGTGCAGAAATACCAAAAAAAAAAAGCGGACAGGCAAACTGAAAATAATAATTTAGTGAAAGACAAGATTAAGATACTTCTAACTAATTTTCTTCCTCTCAAAGACATTTATTTACTTAAAAATACACAAGTTTGAATACAACTCATATCGTGAATTAAGCGAAGATAGCCAAGTTAAAGAATAACGATCCAAACGAAGGAACGAAAGAACGAGAGAGCACTAATTAATGAATGACCGTGGTAAGGCGAAATCACACTAAGGTAGTGAAATCCACCATATTCGCAAAGAGGATAAAAATGGCGAGGATATTGAACAGGCTGTGTCTTTCTTCTTCATTATCTATGATTACCTCTCCCACTTTTTTCCCCACCATCTAAATTGGCCCGCATTAATGCAGTTGGCCATTTTAAGGGTTGTTGGTGCGTTCATTCTCCCTGGATCGATCGATATTCTTTAACTTTTCCAAAATACAGAGAAATAAGCGAAGATATCAAATGTGTGCATGTGTGTGTGTGTGCGTATGTGTGGTAGAGAGAGGGAGAGAGACAGGACAGTTTATTTACTGAACACTACTATATAAACCAAGTATTTACCTGTATGCACTAAAGGTGAAGGTGAATGAAGCAACAATACGCAGACACACACACACCAAAACAATCACCCACGAACTGAAACTTTAGGTGACAGTACACATATAACGCATATAAATATGTGCACACTCACACATACATGAAAATACATAGGAATATATCACAAGAAATATATACGAAGTTTTTAGATTACTGCTGTATGGTATAGATGAAGACCTGTTAAACAATTCTACCTGTCGTCGAATACCATGAAGTGTTATAACAAGCATAAGATAGCAGTTAGTTTCACCCCATGTACTACAATTTACCAAATCTTAGAAGTTCAAGTGATGAATAACATCATCTATGCATAACCAGAGCGTGGGCATAGCTAACTGGCTTAAGCTATCACGTCTCAGGCAATCAACCTTAGGGTTTGAAACCTATTCCACTTACATTAGCCTGGGCGAAAATAAATATATAGTAGATCACTCGACTTTGGAAATATTCCTCCAAGTGAGGCTGTTTGAAACAAAGCTTTCAATTCCCAGCTGAAACATCTTAATAAGGGTCAGCTACTAAAATCACTAACAATACACTTAATGTTTTCCAAATTATTTTATAGCATGCGTATTTTTATTACTACCGGTAGGAACCCAATCCGGTTTATTACAGATAATAATGGATGGATATGCCACTGTTCAATGTTCTTAGAATAAACAGCATAAAACGCCTATCCAGTATTTCCACAAATGAAGCAATTTTCCCTGTATGATATTTCATTCGATTCAAAATTATATACGGGGCCGTACATATAAATCGATCAGTCTAAAATTTTAACCAATCAAAAATGTCGTGAAAGTCTCTCATTGGTTGGTTATATATAGCCAATGAAACGACGTGAAGGTCATTTCCATTAAATTATAAATACACATGATATATTCGATACAATACACACACACACACTCTACTCATAGTCAACTGGATATATATTAGTTAGCAAGTGCTCCTCTATACGTTTGTTTCTTTTCCTCACCACAATATAAATAAATTTATCCTGTTTTCGAAGAAAATGACTCTCAGAGAGAAGCAAAAAAAGAATAAAGCACCGAGGAAAGAGAAGAGCATTATTGTATATATGATTATAAAAAAGACCCGCTGACAATCACACAGAGAAAGAGCAGACAACAGCAGCCCCAAAACAACCTCAAGGAGGCAAAAAGGCGATGATGAACTATAGCCAAAGATATACAAGAAGATGAAGAAGAAGAGATATTTATTCAGAGAGGAACATAGTGAGAGCCATGAAGAAGCATGGAGTAGTAGTGGATGGTTCAGTGGGCAGGAAAATAATGATAATAATAATAATAATAGCACTTGAAAAAGATGGGGAAAAATGCGAATAGAAATATTTTTACTTCTTTGCTCTATAAAAAATAATACGTAAAAATTATACGTATACACATATACGTATACATATAAAGCAAACATAACACAACAACAGAAATGGGGTATAAATAACAACACCGAGGACAACACTTGAAATCACAGACAGTTTAGTTTGTTTTTGGTTACATTCGTGCAATGCCACTTACAGCTTGCATCTAGAAAAGATATATATGTATACATACAAATAATAATAATAGTAATGACAATAGAAATAGTGATAATAATAATCATAATAATAATAATAATGATAATGACGATGATTATAATATTCTTTTACAAACAATGCATCAGAGATTGAGATGTTTCATTGCTGAGAGAATGGAAAAACGTGATTGAAATGAGTAACAATCAACACATACACACACACAGACACCAGTTGTCCATCAGCTACAATACTACATCTCACAAACACACATACATATACAGATCTCATTGAGACATAGTAATAGTAACAATTTCTCGGAGAAGAACAATAGTCTTTTCTTTTCTAATTGAGAATAGAAGGGAAGACAGAAAAAACCAACAAACTGAACCGAACTGAAACTGAACAGTCTTCATCTTCATTGTGGACTACAGACTTTGACAAATAAATTTATCAAGAGATACGGCTGATGGATATGACGCTGATCGACTTTACAGACTTAGAGTTAATGTGAATTTAGAGTATGCAGATAATACAATCCTTCTAGTCGAAGATGTCGGCAGAAAGTAAAGTGTTCTAAACATCTTGGGCAGAAATCATAGTGTAATTAGTTAGCATGAGATTTAAATGTAAAGTGATCCTGCAAGACTGATCTACACCGATTTGTAGTAGTTTAAAGTTAAGGAGTGAAGTCGTTAGACCAGTTGATTGAATTTCACTTGTGTTGGGAAGTTGCATCAATTCTAATTAACTGGAGATTTCTGGAGAAATCCCAGCACATTAGCATTTACCAAACCTGTGTCATCTTTGGAATAGACATGATATACGACCATCAGTCATAAGAGGTGTGTGTATTGTGCAGTAGTTCACTTAGCACTTCTTGACGGCTGTGATGATATGGTCGTTGAAACTGAAAGATATGAAAAGACTAGTTGCCTTTGAACACAGATGTTTGGTAATAATATTATTATTATTCATCCCTTCGGTTGCAAGTGGAACAGAGGATCTCAGAAACACATCTCCACTCTACCTTGTTCTTGTAGTCTTCTTCAGCTGACTCCAAAATTGCGCAAAAACTGTCATTTCCTAATCATATGATCTCCTCGATGTCTCCTTTGGACGACGAACTTCTTGTTTCCCGTCCGGGTTCCACTCAACTGTCTGACATGTGATGTCATTTGAATGTCTCTACAGCGTATACTGAACCCATCTCCACTTCTTTCGACATATTTGTTAGGCAACAGGTACATGGTTGGATCGCTGAATTTCAAGAGTTCCTTGTTGTTCATCCTTTCTGGTTACCCATCTGATCTTTATTATCCAACACGAGAAGTCCGTTGTTGATGAAAGTCTGCAGCAGCCTGTTGGAAATGGTTCTCGTGACGTGCGCGCCAAGTCTTTGAACCATATAAAGGCACTGACTAACATTAGTGTTGAATAGGATTCAGATGTTGTTCCTTGTGCTAAGTGCTACTGATCTCAAAACTATTTTCAGATTAGGAAACGCCTGTCTTCCTTTTCTGATCATAGTTCTGAGATCTTCATCTATGTCGCGTGTATTTGAAACTATGCTGCTGAGGTATGCAGAAGAGACGACTCCCTTCAAGTTCCTCCCGTTGATGGTGGTGACTTATGGTTGTTGCTGTTGATTGGATATACCCACCACCTGTGTCTTCTCTATGTTCACCTGAAGTCCCGTCTTGGCTACCTCTTATGTCAACGTTCTGATTTTCGAGTTTGTGCGACATCAGACATAAATCATTCCTCTTGTTTGGTGAAACATTATAGTCCGTAATAATGAGCAGTTTTTTTGTAGGGAAAGTTGATCGATTAGATTGTGAAGCTACGTTGATTCAAATGGTTAGGACACATGTTACATATAGCAAGCAGTATGATTAAGTTGGAAAAAGAGTTGACAATGGTCAAGCCAAAACAATGGCCTCAATCCACAAAATCATTGACTGCTGGTTCGCTTAACATAGGAAGGTAGATGTAGGCTGCCTGGCTGGGGTTCTAGAATCAGTTGCTAAAAATCAGGCTCAGATGAGCTCACTCTTTGTGATCAACTAGACCGGTTAAATTCTTATTATTCTCCAAGTAATTATTCTCTCTCCCTGCATATTTCTGTTTATTGTAATTTCTTCGCATTTCATATTATGAACAAGCAGCTTGATTGTGCAATAAGGATGCGTTAATCACGAATACCGCTTGACTACGCCAACAACAGCTACCTGTTTCCCCCCAGCCCGCACTACTTAAGCCGCAAAGTATATTTTACGTAATCATGCATGATTGAAAATACATCACCAAGGTTATTTCAATTAGTCTGTAATCATGACCAATAAAATAGTAGGCGTTATTTTGCGTAGACCAATTCTGATTGGTCAGTTTCCAGACTGGATATCGATCATTTACATGGGCGAATCCCGATTGGTTGGTTTCTAGACTGGACATCGATCATCATATCAATTTTTTGTTATACTTTCTTTTTTTAATGAGTGGTTGATAAAGTCTGGAACAGCCCGACTGATAAGAATTAATTTATTTACTACTTAATAAACGAAGACTAGACAGGAAGATGTCAGTGAATTTTCTTTTCGTATGAAAAGATACGAAGAAAAGAAGAAGAAGATAAAAGCTTGGAAATTGGAAAGTACACAAACTACTAGTACTACAAAGACACCTTCGCAGTTACATCGTAAATGATCATTCACTTTTCCTGTTCATCCCTGCCTCTCTCTCTCTCTCTACATGATGGATGACAAGCGTAGACAACTGATTATAACCTTTATATTCACACAAAGTTTGTATCAGTTCCAGAAAAGAAGACGAATTTACCGAAGAAGAAGAAAAAAAGATAATTCAAACATAGATAAAGACGAATAAATTTGATAACGCCTCCTCCTCATTATCATTCTCATCAACATCCTGAATATCAGCAGTGAATAATTCTCACAGTCACAGACGTTCACAATGATAAATACTGTTGAGTGTATTAATATTACTATAAACACACACGACTAGATTTATCAGAATCAGAATAAAATAATAATCTACATGCGCGCATAGCACATATCATAATCATCATTATCACCAGCACAGATGGATTTATAAATGCAGATGTGAAATCTATTACTACTACAACTACTAATACTACTATTACTACGACTATTATACTTCTACTAATAGTAAATCTAATAAAATCATTTTCTAAAAATGCATAGCTTATTTTTAAAAAGAAAACACTAACGAAATATACCATTGGATAACATCAAACACTTACATTCATTCATTCAAACAAACAAACAAAGAAAGTGATCACAGAGTACACACACACACACGCAATGGAGAATGTATAACACTGAAGGCTATTTTTATCATTACTTATTGTATTCTCCGTAACTAGAGGTATTAGAGATGGTGATGGAGCTGTTCAGATGGTGAATCACACTAGACAGGATTTTAAGCGTGTAATCTTGTTCCCAAATGTTAAGCATCAAGAATCATTGTACAGCAACAACGGCAGGCGAAAGTGGGGTGGGGTGGGGTGCGGCGTGAGTATAAAACTATCCTAGAGATCGAACTAATAAAACTGACGTTAATTTACGCATCGAATAGGAAGAGAACAAGATGGTATGATGATGAACTGATCGATGATGAAAAGTAGTAAGCTAAGTAGAAACGAAACTGTTGGGTAGTGGTAATGCATTATCTTCACTGGAGCATTAGATGTTTAAAGACTTATTCTGAGCAAAGATTTGATTTTTGTTGTTGTTGTTAGTGGTTGTCACTAAGATGAATGTGAATTCTTGATTGAATTCATATTCTCTATAAGAGATTTTTGAATATTTACACAGTACTACTCCATCATGTCGTTATGTGACTATGCGTTCATCGCCTCTAGCATGTGTGTAAGTGTGCTATTCACTGCCTATAACACACAGCTGTGATAAGAATCTTCTCAGAAAAAGGGGAAGGATGAATGCCAATATCTGTTATTTATCATATGAACTCCATCCATGGTGTCACTGACAATCATGGAGGCGTTGTCCCCTAAAGTTGCTCTATTGTCTTGTTTTGTACTGGACTTCAAGTCAAAAACTCAGGAGGCGGCTTCTTAGGACAACCACCAGCTTAAAATATAGGCATCTGCCGTCAGGCTACTTGACACAATATTATGGTCCAGAGACTTGGAACGCATTTCCAACAGCCTACTGAAGACTTTCGTCAACAGTTTTCCCACTTCCTCTGGCTCCATACTGAAGATTAGATAGCTAGCTAGAAAGGATGTACAACAAGGACCTCTGGGCAGTGCAGACATTCAACCAAGAAACTATCACCCAAGAAGTATGCAGAAGGAAATAGATCAGACACACGCTGAGAAGATGGCTGAGTGACATCACACGCCAGGCTATCCCTCAAGTGGAACATAAATCAATCAAAATATTCCGATAACACATTTCAGCATACAGGAAAAGCAAACAATCACCATCTCCATAGAAACAGAATGACGACGAAGGGATTAAAGACAAAGGATTTAAACGAAATATTATAATACATACCTGTGTTTGTATACGATTGACACCACGAATCCAAAGGATACGTCCACCAAGTGGCATATCATCACCACTGAGAGATAATGGTAGTATTTCATCTTCATCATCAGCTTCACCGACTTCATCAATTGTATCTTTAATGTATTCATCAGCTGCATTCTCATTGGCACCAACTTGTTTACCGCGTTTACGTCTACGACATTTACACTTCGGTATAATTGCATTCGGTATAGTATTGACAACCTATGCAGACAAACACATACAAACACAGATACAGAGGAAAAAGAAGATCAATAAATAATAATAATATTATTATTAATAGTAATAACAGTAAATAAATAATTGCGCAAAAACACGTATATGCCTATATAGATCCTGTTTAAATGTATTCCAACCTTGGAGTTAGGTTGACAAACAAAAAATGAAATGCGTTATTCTACAACCATCTGAAGATTTATGCAACTTTTCTAATTGGCTGGCAATTCGCTCAAGGTTAAATAAGTTGTCCAATGAGGTTATTCATGTCCACAACGTAAACTCGATTCAGACATGAGGAATGAACACTTTTGCCTTTGCAGCCATTGACTTAAAATGTTGATTCCAGTTTGTTTTTTCTCGCCACTTCTTATCAATCTATCTACCGGTCATAAGTCCGGGAAGTTTACTCTTGAGACCGAGTAAAACAAAAAGCACTCCCGCGTCGCAACGGAAATTTCAAAGCACAGGAAAAAAAAACTTGCTTTTCCCTGAAATTGAGAAGACTCCCCGATTCGAGGACAGATGATGCCGGTGAGTGAAAGCCTCTTGAGGAAGCTAGTCAGTTGGCCGATGTATCCTCTTTCGATGAAAACAAAAATAAGCCCAGGAACAGCAGAAAATTTGAGGACAATTTATGTCTAATGTCTCACAAACTCAAAGACTTACGGACGAAGACCAACAAATTGGTAGAAGAAGCAGACGGCAAAAAACAGAGGACGCCAAGTGAACATAGAGAAGACGGAGGTGGGAAAGCAAGTAAGCAACCAACCAACAACAACAAGCACTAATCAATATCAACCTGAAGAAACTTGAAAAAGATCACTTCGTTCACTCATCCAGGCAGTATCCTCTCAACGACAGGCAGAACGGATGAGGATGTCAAAACCAGGCAGGATCAGAAAGGCGAGAGACGCCTTCATCAATCTGAAACCGGTTTGGAAGTCTTCTGTACTCAGCCAGCATAAAAAAAACAAGATTCGGATTTTCAGTACCAATGTCAAGTATGGGTCAAAAATGTGGCGCAGACGTCACCAAAAGCATTTCCAACAGCAGCCAACTGCCGAATTTCGTCAACAGCTGGCACGTTCACTGGTACCATACTGAAGATCAGATGGCTGGCCCGGCTAGAAAGAATTAGCAACAAGAAACTCTGGACACGAACCAATCAAGAACCTAGTGCTCAATAAATATTCCGAATAAAATGGAGGTGGATCGAACACACGCCGAAGAAGCCGTTGAGCGACACCACTCACCAGGCCATAAGCTCGAGTGGAACCCCAATGGGAAACGACGAGTTGGGCGTGTGAGACGGAGATCGTAACGCAAGACAATAATAATAAATCTCATGATGAAGTCCTGTGACCAATCAATGAAATTCCTACAAACCAATACTTGAATATGCTCACTACCGACTAGTTCTATTCAGGTAGGTAGTCACCTGGGGTTCTAGTGAGAAGTAGTGACCAGTAGGGTACAGCAGGTCGGGTATGAGGACAAATACTCGCCAGAGACGAAAATGACTAGCTGTCGCGCTTTGTCGTTAACTGGCAGAGGTTGGAATTCATGAACTAGCCAATGGATCGGATCGAATCCCAGTGGCTTAATGGTCTATCCAGCTCGCTGGCCTTGTAACCAGAAGATCCTGGGTCCCAACTTCTTGTAACGGGTGCATACTGATGAAGAGTCCCAAACTAAAGGGACGAAACAGCTGTCCAGTACTTCAGTGCAGGTTTTCCAATGGTTCTCTCTAACCGATGTCAGCTCAAGATGAAGTTCTGTAACCAATCAACCAACCAATACTTGAATAATAATAAATCTCATTCCAACACACTCCGATTATTTCCTTCATGAACAACAACAGTAACGTCAAAGTATCAATTAAAACTATTTTTTCAAATACAAAAGCTTACTTGACCCCATACAAGTTCACCAACACCAAAGAATAAACACCAACCCCATTGATCTAATTCTAATGGTTTTGTACTGAAGGCATATGAACCAAATTGTATAATTAAAGCTTGTAATAAGAAGGTTGCAAACCAAATAATAACAAATAATGGATTTCTGTGTAATCCACTGAATACATTCCGTTGTCCATGTATCTTTCTAGCATTGAATTCATTGAATAGTGTCATTAAAACTAAGGAATTAAATATTAGTGTATAATGTTGTGTTGGTTCATGAACAGTTATCCCAGTGACATTATCAACTTCCATGATTAAATCAGCTGTAAATTTGAAAGAAAGAAAAAAGCAACAACAGTTAGACCAAAGGACTAAGTGTCAGTTACAGAACTATTGAAAACCACAGTGTTTCGTCCTAATCTGGGTCTCTTCATCTATGAACACGGAGAACTACATCAGAGATCGGATGTAGGCCATTCAGGTGACGAGGTGAACAGATTACTATACAGTCACTAAGTAGGAATACAAAGGTCTATGAATTCTACCTCAAGTAGACAAAAAGTGTACATCACTATGAATTTTATGTCCTTTACATCAATTGTATGATGATTACTCACCATAAGGAACACGATGCTAATTTACAATACTAATATCTAGTCAGTTCTTCTATATGAGGTCAGACACATGGTGAGCACTTCACGAAAAGCATTCCCAACAGCAGTAGGCTGAAGAGTTTTATCAACTCTTATCGCTGGCTCAAAAGGGAATCTGGCTGCGACAACGAGCCATCAGCCGAGAACCAATAGCTCAACAAATATCTTGAAGGAAATGGTGATGGATCGGACCCACGCTAAGCAGATCGTTACGTGGCATCATACACCAGGCCATAGTTCGAGTGGGACCTTAGTGAAAAGAAATGAAGAGTTGGATATCCAAGGGTGAAACGTAGGAGATCGTGTAACGACGAGATAAGAGTTAATAGGCACTCATGAGGTCAACTGAAAAGCATTGTAGAAAACACAATGTAATGCAGACATGTTGTTGGTTCCAAATATCAGGTTTTTAATGTTGGATAGCGATTGCTTCGGTAAATTTGAGAGAAGAATTGAGTTATATTGCCTATTGATATAGTGTCCACCTCATGACCCATATTATCAAGACGTCTCACAATAGTAATATTCTAAGCATTTATTCCCTTGGGATGCAAACCTTTTGGTATATTTTCAGGGAATCTAAGATATGCCCTCCATTCTGTTCTTTAAATGAAACTTCCACAGCAGATGCATGTGTCGGTGGCACAGTGGTTAGGACTCTCGCCGACCATGCACATGGTCAAGGGTTCGATCCCCTGCCAACGCACACCCGATGTCTATGGTCGGCCTGCAAAATTTGGGCTATCGATATCCATGCTGAAAATTCCATACTTGTACTGGAAAATACAGTGTGGAATCAAGCTGTAATCAAAATTTTAAAAAATAAATAAATAAAATGTATATTAGTATACACAGTTAAAGTTAACATAGGAAGGGTGCCTATCAACCATACTCAAGTGATCAGTTTCTTATCATTGCCTCTTGTCTTGACTATGTAATTCAATCACACGTTTTTTTCAGTTGATTCGATGATGAATAAAGCGTCCGTTATCAAACTCTCCCTACACCCTGTTATATTAGATTTTACAATTGTCATCCTATCGCATCGTATTCTGTGGTTGTGTGTAATTCCATGTAGTGCTAATCTCCATGACCTATTCTCCAGACTTCATATCTTATTTAAGGTCAATTAATCTATACTTTGCTAGGTTTCATGTCTCGCTGGTCTAACTGATGCCGCTCTACAACTAAGTATTTGACCTGACAATCACTGCACAGTATTAGATAAAGCAGACTGTTTTATTTAATTGGCTTAACAGGATCCTTTAAACGACAAAGCTTATTTCTATTTGAGTTTGTGGGTTTGAATGCCATTTTCACTCTGGCCTTGTTGAGAATTCTGCATAAGAGTTCCGAAGTTCGTTCTTTGTACGGAAGCACTACTGACGATTGAAGTTCTTTACTGTGTTGGTGTTGTCATCATTTTGTGCATGTTTGTCATGCATGTCATCATTATTATTGTTACTACAATTATTAATTACTAATTGCATTTATAACACTTTCCTACATACTTCCTGATTAATTTACCAGGGCAATAATCACGTTTTAAATGCTTCTCTTATATGCCCCACTTCCTGTCTTAGATGTCCCTTGGTACTACTTAGTTTTTGTGCCCTATTGCTTAAACATTTCACCGATCCTACTTTTACTGATATAGAATGGGATGATCGGAAATTCAAATATTAGTTTGAATGTGTGGGTTTTCTGTAAACACTAGTGTTTAACTTCCCATCTTCTTTCTGTTTTACTGATTTTTCAACTTATAAGTGAATTGAATTCCTCTATCACTGAGTTGATGTGTTCCTAAAATCTGTTTACGTCCTGTGTTTTAAGTAGTACTGTGAATGTGTCATCTATATACCTCCACCATACTTTGAGAGTGGGCCTGAATGTTTTAATAGCCAACTTTTCCCACCTATCCATGAACATATCTGTCATTATCGGGATTATTCGTGTTCATCCCACGACAACTCCTTCAATTCGTATGTATATTTTCCCCTGGAATTGAAATACTTTAGAAGTCAGACATAGCAGCACTCCTAAGTTCAAGTTGTTGGTCAAAAATGAGTTTGTTAGTTGACCCTGATAAGATAAGAAATCTGGGGAATAGTCCAGCTATAGCACTTCACCACATGTAATTACACACAACCATACACAATGCAATAGGATGGGATAAGATGACAGTTGTAAAATCTAACATAACAGAGTGGAGGAAGAGATTGATAACGGAAATGATTTTACACCTGTTCACCCTCCTGGATATATGGGAAATTCTACTCCCCCTACGATGAATAAGATGGAATAAGAAGGACTGTAAAATGGGAGTTTCAAAGTTGTTTAGTTCTAATTGATTTGATGTGATTATGTACAATAAATAATAAATTACTAAGCGTAATAAACAGAAAATAGGTAGTGGTAGGTATTCTAGAAATATTTCAGGTCAAAGGTCAAATTAAAAAAATTACAATGTGTAATAATTAGGAAGGTTGGGTAGGAAAGACTACTTAAAGGAACTACTATTGAGGTGCACTTTTAATGTCCAGTTCAAGTTCAACAACACGCTTTATAGACAAAGAGATGTAGTGGCAATGGGGTCAGCAATGGGTCCTTTACTTGCAGACTGATTTTTTGTCAAGTTTAGAGAATAGTATGTTACGATCCAATATCGATAGTTTTCATATGTACCAAAAATACATGGATGATACTTTTATCATATGTGATGAGAATCATTATTATTATTATTATTATTGTTTCCTTCAATTCCTAGAGGAACATAGGGCTTCAGCCGCGCGTCTCCATTGCGTTCGGTTCTCTGCTAGAGTCTTCACCTGGCTCCAAGTCTGCCCACACGTTTTCATCTACTCTTCACATGACCTCCTCCAAGTCACCCTTGCACTGACGACCAACTCTCCGCTTCCCTTTCGGCTGGGTTCCACTCGAGCAATGGCTTGTCTAGTGATGTCACTTGATGGTTTCCTCAGAGTATGCCCAATCGATGTCCATTTCTTCCTGCCTATTTGTTTCACAATCGGTTCCTGGTTGGTTCGCTCCCAGAGATCTCTGTTGCTGATCTTTTCTGGCCATCTGATCTTGAGTACTGAGCGAAGACAACTGTTAATGAAGGTCTGTAGTTTGTTTGAGAATGCCAACATCGAAATGATAACCAGGGTGTTGAACAACTGCCATCATGTTATCCAGCTCACACCGGGATCTGAGATGAACTTGGAATTCCATTTTTTTGGATGTTTTCCTAAAAAGGCGATCAAATCAACAGGAAATCAAAATGGAACGGTGAGTACATGAATTTTCATAATTGGTTCCCTAGGAGAGAGGAAAGAGAAATCTTATGCACTCCTTTTCCACAAGAATAAGAAGGATATGTACCAGCGATACCAGCGACGGGGAACTGGAGCGACTCAGACCTGAAATAATAAATTCTATTGGAAACTTTATCGTCATCCAGTAAATAATAAAAATACTGTTTCACAATGTGTGTCTGATATACCTAATAAACAGATTACTAGGAAATTAATTACATACTACCCCAGCGTCAAAGTTATACACGCATATATGTTAATTATAAATTTTAACCAATCAAAATTGACTTACCATAAAATAATAAGAAAAAGATTACAGCCAATTGGTATAAAGAATGACCTAATATATTTTTAGCCATTTGTCTACTGATTAACGGTTGAGTACGTCCGTATGGTGCACGATCGAGTAGTTCAGGGGATGGTTGTTCTGTGGCTAATGCTAAACTAGCCAATGTATCCATAATCAGGTTAACCCATAACATTTGTATAGCTTTCAATGGACTATCCTATATAAATGGAAGAGAAAGAGTGAGGGAGGGAGAGAGAGATAGAGAGGAGGGATGAAAAATGAGGACAGAAGAGAAATATTGAGTAATGTAAATAAATTTAGAAATAGATTTACTTAGAAATGATCTTTAGTTATGTAATAAGCATTGATGTAGCAGAATTATTACTATTTTTATTTCCTTAGGATTCCAGGGGAACATGGAGTTATCTGTAGTCCTCCACAGCTAACTCCACGATTGCCTATAAGCGTGCGACTGCTCCTCAGACGATCTACTTCACATCACTCTCAGCCCCACATCCAACTAGTTGTTTCCTATTCACCTTTTAATCAGAAGGGATAGCTGGCACGTGACGTTACTAAACGGTCTCCTTAGTGTGCGTCCGATCCATCCCTATTCCCCTTCGGCATATTTGTTAAACAACAGGTTTATGATTGAATCGCTGTACTGCCAGGGTTCCTAGATAAGTGAAGGAAGTACCTCTGTCAAATCTCCCCCGTTGATGGCGATTGGTGCCGGCTGTTGTTGTTGTTGACGCTGCTGCTGTTGGTGCATGGTTACCTTCATCACCCAGAGTCCGGTCTTCGCTACTTGCCAGCCTCTTCAGCCAGTCTGCAAGTCTTCGAGTTTGTGTAACATTGAACATAAACCACCCACGCACAAAATCCAGATCTTCTAGAATCTTCTTATCGGTCAGTGCAGCATATTCCTGTCTTCTCACTCCCAAGTACAGTCTGACGCATAATCCAGTCCACCACAATTAAGAATATCATCCGTGATAACAGGCAGCATTGTCTTATTTACTTCAAAAGGTTTAGCTGATATTTATACTATGAACCCCTTGACACGTGGCACTGTCATATAGCCAGGTACTGAATGAAGATGATAAATATCTTCAACACTCCACTCCACAGTATTGAAGTAATTTCCAAATTACTTCGCCATCAACGCTGTCTGCTGAAGGCCTTTTCGAAGTTGACGCTGTGTTCGATGGTTATGCGTAGAGTTGTTATTTCAACTATACACGATTTACTTTCCCTGAATCCAGATTGTGTGCAGTCCGAGTTCTGCATCCAGTACACCTTTTATTCTTTGGCAGTTTGACAAGGTAGTATGCTTTTTATTACAAACGTTTTATTTTTTTTGTTTGATTTCTGACTGAAGTTTCAGTAATGATGGTGTTCTCGTGTACAGAGTGGGTTGCTGGCCTCACCTCCCAGCCTCCCCCCTCTTTACTGGGCTTGCCGTCAGCTAGTAGAACCAGCCAGGCAAGCTTTAGGAGTGAGCCGAGAATTCTACTACCATTCAACGACCAACGCAATACTAGGAGTGTAAGAAAACACAAATTTTCCAGGCTTCACTATAATCACGAACAGTGTGTATGTGGAAGCTTCTGGTGTTACGTCATAATAGAGAGTGATTATTATAATTGAGCAAATAAAAACAGTCCACTCGAAAAAGTGAAATGTTTAATTTACTAGCTACTTACAAATAATAAGTAGTAAACTGCTAGTAATTTAAAAGTAGTGTAACGACAGAAGACAAGGACCAAGCAACAGATCGTTTATTGCCGAAATCAACAGATATTTATACATTTTTATGTATATGATTATTCGTAATTATTAACAGAGAAACAGCGTCTTCTGATTGGTTGTTTTCTCTCTGAAAGTTAATCTGTCATCTCTTGTGGCTGTTTCTTTGAAGGTCAGACCATATGCCTGCGAAATGTATCCGCCCATGCAAAGTCTGCTGTGATTGTTTGTTGAGTTAGTCTTTGATCTTGTTTTTTTCTCATGGCCAAGATGTGGAACGTAAACAATGACTGTCTACAAATTTTGGCTAGCAGACAGCTCTCACCAAAGTAGAATGCACGGCAGTCACCACTCACGTAGTCCAAGGGAGGGGAGGGATTTCGATTCCCGACTGATAAACACCTAAACCTTGAGCCTAAAGCCGGTTAGAAGCCTGGAACAGAGGGAAGGTTGGCCATCAGTGAGGCTAGCAACGCCAACCCCTTCCCCACTACTAAATCTACAAAGTCCCAAGCTTGAAGCCCACTTGAAATACAAAGGAACAGGAAACAACAACAACAATTTGTACTCACATCTAAAAAGCATGCTCCAGCGAATGCTACAATAATAGCGACACAATTCACGGTTAACTGAAATTGTAGAAATTTTGTAATTGAATCGTATACATTACGACCCCACATAACAGCTTTAACAATACTTGAGAAATTATCATCTGTCAGTATAATATCTGAGGCTTCTTTAGCCACATCTGTACCAGCTATTCCCATAGCAAAACCAACATCAGCACGTTTCAACGCTGGACCATCATTTGTTCCATCACCAGTGACAGCGACAACTTGACGTGATGGTGCTGCACGACTGTTGATGATACCACCGACTAAGGTGTATTTATCCTTTAAAAAGACAAGAAGAAGACACAAAATGTTACTTGAGAGATTTCAGTATAGTGAAAATAGTTATTCAGACATTTAGAAGACAAAATAAAATTTGAACAAAACTAGAGAATGGGCCTTTGAAAGATGTAAATGATGTGACCTAGAATTCCACTAGAATTCGTTATATGGAGGATACACTTTTAATTACGAAAAATAAGGATGAAGCAAAGAACATCCTGGACAAATTTAAAGATGTTCATCCCGCGATAAATTTTACCATCGAGAAAAAAAGAGATTCTAGTATTTCATTCCTAAACGACGTCGCTATGACTAGAAAACAGAGGAAGGTACAATAAGAAGAAGTGTATATAGAAAACCTACATCAACTGACTGTCAGTACACTCATTTTTTCAGCTTTGTACCTTTGAAATACAAACGCAATCTAATACAGTGGTTGACCCACGGGTCAAGAAAAATCTGTTGTGATGAATGTCTTAGTGAAGAGCTTAATACTATCAAATAGTTGCTGAGTGAGAAGAGTTACCTAGAAAAATTAATCGATAAGAATATAAGCCAAAAGCAAGGGCAGGCCAAAGTACCAACAGTTCCCAAAAAGGCCTTATTCTTACTATCTCAGTTCCTCGGGGATGACATCAGTGAGATACTAACACAACGCTTTAGGGATGCGGTAAAGAGAGCCCTCAGTGTTGCTGAATTATGCTGTGTCTTCAAAACCACCCCTAATTTACGTTCGGGAATTAAACATAAACCGCCTAATTTCTCCCCTTCTATGTGTATCTACCAATTTAACTGCTCCTGTGTAGCCAGTTACATAGGGCTCACAATTAGGCGCTTTTCTTGTCGTATTTCCAAACATCATCCTGCGTGGTTAAGTAAAGGACGAACAAAATCCATTCATAGCTCTATTCTATCTCATCTCGTGGACACAGAACACAAGATTGGTGTTAGCGGGGCTTTCAAAGTCACTTAACGGCATACAAACTAATCATAACCTTATCTTAAGAGTTCGTCTATTACATATTGCCGAGGCTGATAGTATCCACATTAAAAAACTTAACTTATGTATCCAAAAGAAATTGATTCAGACACTGTCCTTACCTTGTCCATCAAGGTTTTCATGATTCTTAATTTGTTGTAGAAATTTCCTTAATTTTATTTGATATTCTATTTGCTGTTACATTTTTATGCCTATTATAACTTATGTATCTTTCTTGAACTGTGTTTCCATTCATTTTAACAAGTCGATATTATTTAAAAACCGCCAATGTTGTTAATCACCACTACTCTAGAATGTCCTATATACACATATATATATATAATTGTAGAGCCGGAAGAGGAAATTGTCAAAAAGAATATTTTTTGCACAAATTTTCTTTTGTCTTTTAAATGTCTGAATGAGTTATATTGACCGTCGCTCTAGGAACTTGATTATTCGTGCTTTCTCAAAAACACCTACCAGTGTGGCTAAGTAAAGGTGTAGTAAAAACCAGAACCGGTTGATATTAGAACATACGTTCCAAACCGGCGACAAAGCAACTAGCATTGAAAAATCCTTCTCAAACATCTATCAGGTACCAAATAAATTGTCAATCGCGAGCCCGAATAGTTCAAAGGTAACGTCTCTGACTGAAGCACTCACTGGGTGACGCCGGTTCGAATCTCAGAAGGGATACGAATTCCTTCAAGGCTGCAGATACGCCTTGCTGACTGACTGGTGAGTGCCAACTAGCACGAAACCTAAGTCGAAGGCTTCCTGTGGCCGATCGCCTCCAACCATCTACTAATATCGGGAGTTGTTCGAACAATTCAGCGCAAACACAAAGTATACTGTAGAGAAATTCAACATTTTATGCATCGCTACCACTGTTGTAGGTGTGTGTGTGTCTATCTGTGAAAAAAATGAAAGCTGAAAAACCTATGAATAGTCATTAGACTATGAAAATGAACGTACACAAGTTGAACTACTTATAAGTAGGCAAATCAGTTTCCACAAATAAAACAGGCCAACAGGATAAAATAATGCGATTTATTTATTTGTTTCCAGATTATAGGAGTGGTGAGGATTAATTGGATTAATTTTAGTTGTTAGATTCTCATCAAAAACCAACCCATCAGTTAAAAAGATCATTGGGAACCAGACAGAACTCGACAGCTGTTTCGTCCCATTTTGGGACTCCACGATAGTGTACACCCATTTTCCGCTCTGGAAATCACTGATGGCTACTGCATGAATTTCCTGAAGCTGTGCAGTGGGAAGTCGTGACCAGTAGGGTCCACCATGTCAAGGTGTGAAGTGGATTCTCAATGAAGGGATTAGTGAAGGCAGTGCGATACCAAGAGTTGACAAAATTAGAATTGACGAGTCACCGTATTCCCACCGACTCAAGTGGCCTAATGCTATTCAACGAGTTTGGTCTCATGACCTGAAGACTGCGGGTCCGATCCCTAGTTGTGTGGTCATAAGTCCCAAAATGGGACGAAACAGCTATCCAGTGATCTTGGCTAGTTTTCAATGATTTCTCCCTAACTGATGAAAACCTGAACAATTAAAATTATTTAAAATCATCGAAGATACCCATTGAGTCATGTAGAAAATGAAAGATAATTCATCAACGAAGAAAATTTTCTTTATCGACAAAAATATCTTCCTTCAGAGGCTTTACAGTCGTATTTATATTTACTAAAAACATATATAGATAGTCTATTATTGAGTAATACAATGGGTGATAATTGAAATAATTACATAATTGGCTCCAAAAGCAAAAATAAAAGTTATAAATTACGTAATACTCAACGGCACAAAGGAAGAAAGGGTTAGAAATTTGACAAGGTCAAAATTGCTATTGAGTGAGAATAAAGGTAGTTGAGTGTCAATTTAACAAGTGTTAAGAGGGTAAGAAAACGTATAAGAATAATAATAGTGAATTAATTACTTAAGTCAAAGCAACATAATCACTAAAAATAAAAAATTCACAGGGAACGACTAGTGAAGAGGTTAAGACTATGATAGAATTAGAGACTGGACAAACGTTTTCTGTATACAGAGTTCGGGGTTGTATTGACAAATTGCCAACGCCTCCGTCATACACAAGTGTCGAAACTTGACGCCCTTCACACCATTATAACTAGCTTAGCAGAAGCACGTGAATTTATAAACACACACTGAAGTGGCCCAAAGCGGCAGTTTATTCTTCTGCCTCTAAGTAGAGCGGGTTCGTGTCCCACCGTGGGTGTGGCTTTGTGTGTCGGTGGCACAGTGGTTAGGACTCTCGCAGACCATGCACATGGTCCCGGGTCCGATCCCCTGCCGACGCACACCCGATATCTATGATCTGTCTGCAAAATTTGGGCTACCGATATCCATGCTGAAGATTCCATACCTGTACCGAAAAATACGGTGTGGAATCAAGCTGTAATCAATATATACATATATTTATTTTATTTTTTTATTTTTGATTACAGTTTGATGCCACACCGTATTTTCAGTACAAGTATGGAATTTTCAGCATGGATGTCGGTAGCCCAAATTTCGCAGACCGATCATAGATATCGGGTGTGCGTCGGCAGGGGATCGGACCCCGGACCATGTGCATGGTCGCGAGAGTCCTAACAGAAGTATATATATATTTATTGATCATTTGTCGACTGGAGAAATTGATCAGTAGCTCAACCGAAAAGGCTTTCCTCAGTGATCTGGATAATCAGTCCTTCAGAATCTCACTTGGAGTTTCACCTTTAAATTCAATTTTCATAAATTGCAGTTTCTTTGACGCTTTCGGGCTTTTGCTCTAACTTCATGTTTTTCTCGATGAATCTTGAAGGATATCAATTTTCCATGAGGACTTGTCTGAGTCTCTCCAGTTCACCACTGGATTGTATCACTAATGCTTATCCTTCTTATACTTGAGGATAAGGAATGGATCAGATTTCTCTTTCTTCTCAAATGGACCCAAGTATGAAAATTCATGTATTGACCATTCCATGTTGGTTTCCTGTAGATCGATCTCTGAAGAGAACCATCAGATCTCCTCTTTAGCAAAACATGCAAAAATTGAAATTCCGAGTTCATCTCTGATTCCAACGTGAACTGGATGGCAGCATGACATTCTCGTCACATATGATGACAGTATCATCCATGTATTTTCGGTACAAATGGAAACTATCAGTAGCAGGCCATAACATACTATTCTCCAAACTTGCCAAGAAGCAATCTGCAAGTGAAGGACCCAATGGCGACCCCATTGTCATTGAGTATGACGTAATTCATAACTTTTATTTTTACTTTTGAAGCTACTTCTAGGTAATTATATCACCACAGTTGTATTACTCAACAATATCGACTGTACACAGCCTCTGAAGGAAGATGGTTTTGTCGATAAAGAATTATCTTTAATTTTCTTCAGGAAATTATTTAATTTTGTCTTTCTTTGATGTTTTTCTGCTTTTTTCCTCTTTTTCTGAAACATCACATTTTCTATCTGTCTTCGAATTAGACGATTGCACAAAGAAAAAATCTATCTACTGATATCTTGGTTGCAACTATCTATTACAATATTATTTTTATGATTACATTTGAAATAAGGGAGTGGAAATCGCACATGTGTGCTTCCTCCCTACCACCCCACACTTCTATCTCTTTATCTCTCTCGCTCTCCTCTATATTATCAACCAACATCAAATGGGATCCTACATATGTATAAATATTTATACATAGATAGATAACGAGTATAATAATACTAATGCTATATCAACATTTATAAGATTATCATTATCCAGGGCATAGATGATACAAATTTCCTGGAAGGGAAGACGTTGACTTGCAACTCAGATTGAATCATTATAAAATTCCCTATTAATAATTAATAATAATAATAACAACTCCAGTGTGTTTGAAAAATTAAAACAAGATTTTTTTCTTCTTTCTGAACGTTACTCTCTGTTTAAGCAGTCATAGCTTCAGCAGTACATCTCCACTTCACACTGTCCTCTTGAGCTGC